CATTATATTTTCATACTTACTCTCTGTGGATTGTGTGCTTCACACCTAACTCACACCTTGCCCACTCCCCTATCCAGGTTCCTGTGCTCATAGAGGCCTCTATAAAGTCAGCATGCCCCTTGTGGTAAAATCTAATTGGAGAGGTGTTTCGTACAAGGCAGGTGCCTGGGGCCGAGACTGGGATCCCAATGCAAATACAACCCTCTACTGGGTGGCCCCACTGCGTGCAGATCTCAGGTAGGTCCAGGATGACTTCTTTTCTACATCCAGATTCATCACAAATGTCTCCAAGCCCTCATTTTAGCAAACTCCTTTCTGAGCATCCCTAGCTTCCTCTTTTTTAATTCCAGGAACAACCTACATGAGTCCTGAAAAACCATTTCCTAATGGTCCTTTCATGGATCAAGGGTGGTTATTGCCTGGACATTCTAAATACCGTGCCAAGACAGTGCTAGTTCTGTCCCTAACTTAAGCCTATCTCAAGAATACTTTTGCTTAGATCTTGACTTCTGAATTCCAGCTTTCTGATTCCAGAAAGCTAATTTCAACATCTGGATTTTAAAGGAAAAATTATAAAATTACCCTACTCAAATATGGGATTTATAATCCAACAGGGGCAATGTTATACATGAATGCCCATGAGAGGAAAACATGAAGCTACTATTTGTAGAATTTTCACTTTGTGAAAAAATCCTGTGTTATTATATTTTCATTATCTTGTTAGTTTTGATAACCAACTAGGAAGTTTCTGTTGTTATTCTTCTTATAGATTTACTCCTTTTATAAATCAATTGTGTCACCTTCAGCAAATTACATAACCTTTCTGAGACCCAGTCTGCTAATTGTAGGGGCTAAAATGTTCTCTATTAAGATTTTATTAAAATTCTTAAATGAGTTAATGCATATATAGTTTAATAAAAGCACTCTTGCTTTTTATCATTACAGTTACTGTTAATATTTTAGCATAATTTTGTCGTATTATACAGTAATAATATAGTAAATATTGTTGTTATTATTGTTATATGCCATCAAGTTGACAGCGACTCATAGCGACCTTGTGAACAGTAACTCTGAGCCCTGCTTTGTCCTAAGCCGATCTCACTGTCTCTGACACACCTGCCCTCATTTCTCCAGTCATTGTGTCAATCCATCACATCCAGGTCCTTCTCTCTTGTGCTGACCCTTCATATTTCCAAGCATTATGTCCTTCTCTAAGAACTGGTGCCTCCTGGCAACATGTCCAAAGTATATTAGATGAAACTTCAGAATCCTTGCCTCCAAGAAGCAACCCAGTTTTACCCTCTCTAGGACAAAACCTGTTTGTTCTCCTAACAGTCCATGAAGACTACATTCAATACTCTTCTCCAGTCCCACATCTCAAAAGCAACAACTCTCCTTCTACCATTCATAGTCATTGTCCAGTTTTCTGAGGCATAACAAGTAATTTCAAAATATGGCTTGGATCAGGTGTACCTTAGTCTTCAGACTGGCATTGTTAGTCTTCAGGGCTTTGAAGAGGTCTCTGACAGCAGACTTTCCCAGTGCAATTCAACTTTTAATTTCTTGACTATTGCTACCAAGAGTGTTGATTGTGGAGTCAAGTAAACTAAAGTTGTTAACAATCTCAATCTCTTCATTATATATCATGATGCTTCCAATGGGCCCAGTGGAGAGAATCTTTGTTTTCTTGATATTGAGCTTCAATCCATATAGGAGGCTGAAGTCCTTGACCTTCTGCAGCAAGTCCTTCAGGTCCTCCTCAGTTTCATCAGGCAGGGTTATGTCATCTGCATAATGCAGACTGTTGATGAGTCTTCCTCCAATCCTGATGTCACATTTCTACTCATAGAGCCCAACCTCCTCAATAATCTGTTCTGCATATAAATTGAAAAGGTACGGAGACAGGACATATCCCTGGTGTACACCCTTCCCAATTTTGATCCATGCAGTGTTCCCTTGCTTTGTTCTGATCCAAGTCTAAGTATAGGTTTTGCATATGTATGATGAAGTGTTCTGAGATTCCCATACTTCTCAGAGTCAGTCACAATCTGTTGTGATCCACACAATCAAATGCCTTTGCATAGTGAATGAAACACAGATAGATATTCCTCTGGTATTCCCTGCTTTCAGCCAAGATCCATCTAACATTAGCTACAATACTTCTCTTTGATATGGTACCAGTCATTTTTGGATCATTTTCAGCAAAATCTTGCTTGCATATGATATCAATGATACTGTTTGATAATTTCCATGCTCTATTGGGTCACCTTCCTTTGGAATGGGAACAAATATAGCTCTCTTGTTGAAATATGTCAATATTATTGAAATATTTAATTAGTTGAAATATGCCAATTAGTATGCTGTCAATTCCTGGGACTTTGGTTTTTGTCAATTCTTTCAGAGCAGCTTATTCTACACAGTAAAGACATAATAGAAAAGAATAATATTGCATTTATCTTACTATGGTTTAATTATTACATTATAGCTACTATTAGAGAAAGGATTAAAATTCATTTGTGTCTGGTTTAAAACGCCTTGCTGGTAATTAACACATTAACCTGACCTGACTTCTTAAACAAAATAGTACATACTTTGTAATCTTGATTATTATTGTGATCTAATAATTTTGATGTTGGGGTGGGCTTGGCTTAGGTACTTTGACTACTACAGGCTGTACAACTCCTATGAAGACCTGCTGCTGTCTAAGAACTACAAGGAGCTGTATATGGGCTATGGTGATGGTAGTGGCAATGCTGTGTACAAAAATTTCATGTACTTTAACTACTATGGCACAAATGACATGGCCAAGTTGGACCTTTCCTCCAACACTGTGGTACTGCAACGCTCACTGGCTGGTGCCACTTACAACAATCGTTTCTCCTATGCTGGTGTGCCCTGGAAGGACATAGATTTTGCTAGTGATGAAAAAGGACTGTGGGTGCTCTATGCCACTGAAGGAACTAAAGGCAACCTGATTGTGAGTCGTCTCAATGAGAATACCCTAGAAGTGGAGAAAACCTGGTATTCTAGTCTCTACAAGCCAGCGATGTCAGGGGCTTTCATGGCCTGTGGAGTGCTTTACGCCTTACGCCCATTGAGTACTCGCCAGGAGGAGATCTTCTACGCTTTTGATACCAACACTGGGCAGGAGTATTACATAAGCATCACCCTGGACAAAATGCTGGATACGCTACAGGGGATCAATTACAGCCCCTTTGACCACAAGCTCTATATCTTCAATGATGCATACCTGGTCACTTATGATCTCACCTTTCTGACACGGAAGCAGGCAAAGCCTTTTGGGGTCTATGCCCTATCCAAACCTATCAATTAACTAAACCTTCACACTCCGAGGCTCTAAGGCTGGACAAGCCACTGATGAAAGTTTTTCCTCCTCCTTTCTTCCAGATGGAGCACTATCTCAAATGGGCATCAGTTTTAAAGATTAGGGGGCACTGGTCATGTTTAATTAATTCTTTATGTATCCAGTTAATAAATCAATCAGCATATTATAGGTCCCTTTAGTATTGGTCTTGGTGGATTTGATTTGCAAAAATACCCAAAAAATTAGCATGGGATACATAATCTTCTTTGTTGTATTGGGATCTTATATTATGTGATTTGATGTTGTAAACATTTGTGAATTAGACAATTCTGTAACACCACAGTCTCGGTTCAGAATTTCCTCAGTATAGAAGTATCTGTTTCTTAAGGGCATCTGGTGGCCTACTGGCAAGAAGCTGCACTACAATCCCAAATTTAAATACACCAGATGCTCTGCTGGAGAAGGAGGGGTAATCTCCTATTGTACCAGTCAGATCCGTTTTGACGGTACACACACAAAAATAATAATAAATAAAATTAAGAAAAAAAAGAAGTATCTTTTTCCAATACAGAAGACCCAAGGGAGATGATGGAAGACAGTAGTTCCCTTTCCTAACACTTCCCTCCTATGTGATCTGTGGGTAGAAAAGGGAAAAGTCTTAGTCTGAAAAGAAAATTTTCTCTGTCCTGATTCAATTGCATTTTAAGTGTAATTGGGTCTATCTCTGAGTCCTGCTCTAGGAAGTTAGAAGGTTGGCAACAAGCCAAAGGAGGGTCTAATATGGATTGGCCTGAGTATAAAAACATTCTCAATAAAGAATTCTTTGTTGTGATTGCAAGAAATTTATTCTTCTGGTCAATTGTGTTCTCTTTTCTTTCCTTCTACATACAGAGAATATAGGATCCCATTTTCTTAGTCACTGTCACTCTGTATGGCACACTTTCCCACAAGGCGAAGTGGATCTGATATTTAAGCATTCAATGTGCAATGTCCTTACCCTCTTTACACTTTGTCATGAATATAGTTTCACATTATGTATTTATTCAGAAATACACATCCAACCAGATAGGCACATTTTCGTTTCTATCTATCCATCAGTCTCATCTATAGGCAAACATCAACTCATATATAAATACACATTCATAACTACTACTATTGAGGAAGCTCTGGTAGCCTAGTGGCAAGAAGCTGTGCTGCAATCCCGAAAGCAAACAGTTTGAATCCACCAGCCTTTCAGCAGGTGAAGGATGGACAATCTCCACCTGTGGGATTAGCTGCCTCTGAAAACTTTCCAGAGGGTTCTAACTCAATCATACACAACAACAACAACTACTACTACTACTACTAGAAAATTTGCATGGGACTGATAATCTTGTGGTTCTTTTTTTTTTTACTACTTTAACTCTGTTCTAGGAAGTTTTGACTTTTAATTACATCCAATTTTATCTCACTTGATTATAGATGCTTCCCAATTAGTATTTCACTTCTAAAATAGACACTGAGACAAAATAATATAAAAAGTCTGTTAATATGGCATATGGGAAAGACTGAGTATTGAATAAATGAAAAAAATATTCTGCAAAGAAGCATTCATTCATGTTTAATTTGGAATACCTCCTAATACCAGCAGCTAGAAATCAAAAGACAAATTATATTGGGGAAAATCCGCTGTCAGGGACCTCTCCATAGTACTGATTAGCAATGATGTCATTCTAGAGACTAAGGTGTGCCTGATTCAGGCCATGGTCTTTTAGTTACTTGCTCTGCATCAGAAAGCTTGACAATGACTATGAATGATAGAAGAAGAATCGATGCCTTTGAGTTGTGGTTCTTAAGAAGAGTCTTGAACATACCATGGAGAATAAACATGTTCGTCCTGGAGAGGGTGACAACAAACTGCTCCTTGGAGGCAAGGATTCTGAAGCTCTGTCTGACATACTTTGGGTATCTTTCAAGGAGGGACCAGTCCTTGGAGAAGGACATCATAAAAAGGCCAATAGGTAGATGGAGAAAAGATTGAAGCCATCAATGGTTTCATCTTACTTGGTTCCATAACCAACACCATTTTTGGAACCAGCAATCAAGAAATGATGTATTGCATTGGGAAAGTCTGCTGTCTGGGAGCTTTCTAAATATTGAGGAGCAATAATGTCAGTTTAAAGACTAAAGTGTGTCTCATTCAGGCTATGATCTTTTCATTCACTTGCTATGGACTATGAATAAGGGTGACAGAAGAATTGATTCTTTTGAGCTGTGTTGATGGAGAAGAGTACTGAATATCTTAGCGACTGACAAAAGAACACACATGTCTTAAGAGAAAGGGCAGCTGGAGAGCTCTAAGAGGGAAGAATGGTGGAGTTTCCTCTCACATTTTGGGCATGTTTTAAGGAGGGGCTATGGAAAGGAATGTCATACTTGGAAAGATGGAGGGTCAGTTGAAGAGGGGGAAAAACCCCTCAATGAGTTGCATTAACACAGTAACTGAAGCAACAGGCCCAAGTATGTCAGAGATGATTAAAATGACACAAGATGGGACAGAGTTCAGATCATACTTGACTCAGCACCTAGTAACAACAGCAAGAACAACAACAATGCCTGAGTTAGCTGAATGATGCTTACTGGATCTGAGCTACCTCAAGAGAAAAGACCTTGAGATGGTATTATTATTCTGTAGAGGGAGATTGTAAAGCACAAGTTAAAAAGTTTAAATTTGATAAGGAGGCTTTCCTCAAAACTATCCCCCTACAATAAAAGGACACTGTTGTTGTTTACTTTAGAGTCTGAATAGACCCACAGACCCTCTAGTGGGTTTTCAGAGGCAGTTAATTGCACAGAAGATTGCCCATCCTTCTCCCCTGGAGAAGCTGGTGGCCTCGAACTGCATTGCCTTCAGGATTGCAGCGCAGCTTCTTGCCACTAGGCCACCAGAGCGCAAAAGGACACTACTTTTAAAATTACTTTTCTTACCAGTTTCAGCTCTGCCAACCCAAAGATGTAGGCCTCTTGGGCGTTTCAAATCCACAGTCGCTCTGTGCCAGAAAGCAATTTCCTCCCCTGAGAGTCACAGCCTCCAGAAACTCAGTGAAAGGTTAGCTATGAGTCGGTTCTGCCTGAATAGCTGAGTTTTTGTGTTAGTGCAAGAGGAAGCTCTGTTAGCATAGCTGGTAGGAAATTGTGCTGCTAAAGCAAAGAATGTGCCTCACTTGAGATTAGAACCCAAAATCCCTTCTGGGAGAAGAAAGATCACTCTCCTCCCAAAAGAAAGTCACTCTCCTCCTTTTAGATTAATAGCTTTGGAAAGACAGAGAGAAGGTTTGCACTATTGTTGCCTAAATGAAACAAGGTTTCAAGACATTACAGGAAGAATTTTATTCAGGTTTTAAGATTTGCAAATCAGAAAGCACCAGAACAAAAGTTCAATATGGTGGTCTGATGAGGGAGAATAAACACATGCTTTTCATTAGAACTCTGTGCAGAGTAGAAAAAGAATATCTGGGTACGTTTGATTGATCGATATTCAACATACTTTGTCTAAAACTCATTGATGGAGAATTTCTGTTGACAGGGATACAAGGGTTTCACCACAGTGTTCCAGAGGCAATTCCCTATGATTCTCACAGATTTTATGCTAGCTGCTTCAGAATTTTGCTGAACAAATAATCTTGGTCAGAAGTGTAGTACTAGGCCTTTTACTTTAAAAAGCAAGGGCCTAGGACATACTGGACTTAGTTTCAAACCTGGTGACAGTCATTTTAATTATGTTAAATGCCTCAGATTTAAAGGGGTTTTTTTCACACTGGAAATCCTATATTTTATTTCCAGACATTTCCTCTTTGTTTCTGGGCAAAACCTTTTTTTTTTTATATTTTCTTATTGTTATTTTAAATATGACATTAACACATGCTGAGTGAAGAATGGTTCCCCTGCTGCCCTGCAGGAGTAAGATGGGCATTCTCCTCTTCTTCCTTTAAAGATTTAGAGCCTCCTCAGAAACTCAGTAGAGTCACCATCAACTCATGGTTTGAAAATATTAAAGAATTACAATTTCTCTATATGGAGATGTCACCATCCCACCAAAAGTAATATGTTCTTGTCTAGAATTAAATGGTGACTGCCCTTTTATACACAGGAAGTCATGACGCCCCATCTTACAGATTGAATTCCTTAATAAGTCCCTGGAGACCAAGTAAAAGGAATCTAAACAGAGTATGACCCAGTTTGAAGAATAAATATGAAGGTGTTTTCAAATATTTCTTTTCACTGAATCCCTATCATCCTTCCTAGGCCCTCTGGAATTATTTTCTGTTATCCCTCACTCAATGCTGTAGAGTCAGACTCCTAGCTGACACTCCACTAGGCTGTAGATAAACGACAATAGAAGAGAGATTGTCCATTTTTCTCCTGAGCAGCTGGTGGTGGATTTCAACCTGGCGAGAGACCAGGCCTTTGGGTTAGCAGTGCAACACCCTAAGAACTATGCCATTAGAGCTAACTCAGTTATCCCTGAAAATGCCTAAATGAATGACGACTTTAAAATTCTATGTTGCAGATTTTTTTTTAAAAAAAAAGAATGGAATTAAAAGAAAACACAGAAACAATCTGTTCTCTGCCTCAATCATATTTTTCAAAACCCCATAGCCTGATTCTCTTATTATTCAACCTTAGCTCTAAAACAAATATCAAAGATTCCTCTACCTCACTGCCAACTCATAGGTGACCCTGCAGTGGATTTCTAGAAGTTGTAAATTGCAAGGGAGGAGATAGTTCATTATCTCCTGTACATGCAAGTTTCTTGTGGATTTGAACCAGCCATCTCTAGATTAGCAGAACAAATACCTACAGATTAGGCCACCGGAGCTCAAAGATTAGCCGAAGAAAAACATTTCTAAGATTTCAGTTATGATCGTTTACTGATGGTCACTGTGTTCATTTTCATCAGACGGAATGGCTTTTGAAAAAGCTTTATTTGCACATCTATAGTCATAGCTGGTGACCTAGTGGTAAGAATG